AGCGCTCAGGACAGGCTGCTGCTCTAATTATAACCATGCTTTTCACCTAAACCCATCACTGGCTGAGGCAGCAACTTGTGCAAGTGACATGTGGTCCTGTTTCTGTTTCTCCTATTTCTTGTCATGACAAGTAAGTGGCTGTCCTTTCCAGGCCCTCTTCTTTCCCTGGTGGTTGGGAAAGGGAGAGTTTATAATTCAGAAATCAGGCGTAAAATAAGTCCAGTGTGAGTGAATTAGAGGCTTAGCTATGACTTAGTCCAACTCTCTCTTTTTACAGATGAGGAAACAGAGATTTAGAGAAAGTAAAGTGTTTGTCCAAGGTCACATAGCATGCCAGAGGAAGAGCTAGAGAAAAGGCTGTGATTCTAACTCCCAGGCTGGTGCTCTTCTTGATCTCATTCTCTTCAAAGAAACTCATTCAGCTATTTACTGAGGAAAGAAAATATGTAATCCTGGTTAGCTAATCTCCATATATGTGGATTTGACCAAGTTACTTAACCATTCTCTAGCTCAATTTTCCCAGTTGTGAAATGAGAATGATAATACTTGGTGTGACTTTGTGTTAATAATTTAGCCCATTATTATATGTCTAGCACATACTAAGTGCTCCAAAATGCTGGTGTGGACTAGAAAATATATGCTAAATTCTGCTGTAATTAACAGATACTGAATTCCCCTTTCCTCTGGATTCTTCCCTGCATATATATTCACGTGAAGGTAAATTTATCTGGGGTAAGCAATGAGCAGCTAAAAAATTGTAAAAATTTTGTATACTGATCTTGTATCCTAAAACTTTGCTGAACTTGTTTACTAATTCTAATAGTTTTCTTGTGGATTCCTTAGGATTTTCTATATACAAGATCATGCCCTCTGTGAATAGAAATATATTTATTTATTCCTTTTGAATTTGGGTGCCTTTTATTTCCTTTTCTTGCCTTATTGCATTGTGTAGATATTCCAGCACTATGTTGAATGAAAGTGGTAAGAGCGGTCATCCCTAACTTGGTCCCTGTTTCTAACCTTAGGGGAATAGTATTCAGTCTTTCACCCATAAGTGCGATATTACCTGTGGACTTTTTGTAGATGACCTTTATCAAGTTGAAGGATTTGATAGTTTATCCTAGTTTGTTGAGTGTCTTTTCTTTTTGTTGAAGTATAGTTGATTTACAATATTGTGTTAGTGTTAGGTATACAGTGTAGTGAATCAGTATTTTTGCAGATTATACTTCATCATAGATTGTTATAAGATAGTGGGTATAATTCCCTGTGCTATACAGTATATCCTTGTTACTTATCTATTATATGTATAGTAGTTTGTATCTGTTAATCCCATACCCCTAATTTATCCCTCCCCACCTTCCTCTCCCCTTTGGTAAACATAAGTTTGTTCTCTATATCTGTCAGTCTATTTCTGTTTTGCATATATATTCATTTGTATTATTTTTTAGATTCCACATATAGGTGATATCATACAGTATTTGTCTTACCCTGTCTGACTCATTTCACTAAGAGTAATATTCTCTAGGTCCATTGCCATTGCTGCAAATGGCAGTAATTCATTTTTTATGTCTGAGTAATATTCTGTTGCATATATATACACCAAATAGTCTTAACCCAGTCAACTGTAGATAAGCACTTGGGTTGCTTCCATGTCTTGGCTATTGTAAACAGTGCTGCTGTGTACACTGGGGTGCATGTATCTTTTTGAACTAGTGTTTTTTTTTTTTCACATGTATACCCAGGAGTGGGATTACTGGAACATATGGTAAGTCCATTTTTAGTTTTTTGAGGAAACTCCATACTGTTTTTCACAGTGGCTGCACCAATTTACATTCTCACCAATAGTGTACTAGAGTTCTCTTTTCTCCACATCCTTACCAACATTGGTTATTTGTAGACTTTATTTTATATATAGAAGTATAGTCAGTTTACAATGTTGTATCAGTTTCTGGTGTACAGCATACTGCTTCAGTCATACACGAACATACATATATTCGTTTTCATGTTCTTTTTCACCATAAGTTATTACAAGATATTGAATATAGTTCCCTGTGCTATACAGTATGAACTTGTTGTTTATCTATTTTATACATATTAGTTGGTATCTGCAAATCTCAAACTCCTAATTTATCCCTTCCCCCTGCTGTATTATTGTAGGTTCACCAATTATAACAGATGTACCAATCTAGTCTAGGGTTGTTAGTGAGGAAGGCAGAATGTATGTGGGAGCAGGGGCTAAATGGAAAATCTCTGTACCTTCTGCTCAGTTTTCCTGTGAACTTAAAACTGCTCTAAAAAAAAAAGACTATTAAAAGATCAAGTGATTAAAACAACAACAACAACAACAACAACAACGAAAACATCACAACCTAAGGGTCAATGTCTAGGTCCACAGTGCCACCCTGAAAGATCCCTCTGTGATGACACGAATGTGGTGGGTAGCAGGACATGCTAACCCATTACTGCTGCTATCTCTGTTAGTTTCCCCCAGTGAATGTTGATCCAATTATTGTTATTATATAAAGTGTGCTACCAGATTGTACACATTATAATTTCTTCCATGTTTGATGAATTATTTGGAAATGTTCTTTTTACTTTTCTAAATAGAGAGGTTGGAGTTTCTTCTAACTGCCTTATGATCAAAGAATGCTGTTTGTATGTTATTGATTTATTTGAGTTTGTTAAGATTTGCTTTGTGGTCTAGTATGTAGTCATTATAGGCTTGAAAAGAATGTGTATTCTCTACCAGTTGAATACAGAAGCCTACACACTTTCATTAAATCAAGCTTATTAACTGAATAGTTTAAATCTCTCTCCATACTAAATTTGTATCCATTTGACCTATCAGTTATTAAATATTATATTCACATCATCCACTATGATTATGTAGTTGTTTTTTGTTTTTGTTTTCAGGAGGTAGGTAATTAGGTTTATTTATTTAGTTAGCTGTTTTAATGGAGGTACTGGGGACTGAATCCAGGGCCTTGTGCATTCTAAGCATGTACTCTAACCATTGAGCTATACCCTCACCCCCTGTATTTGTTAAGTTTCCCTAAGAATTTTGTTAATTTTCTCTTTATATATTTTGAGAATATGTTGTTAAATATATACAAATTCAGAATTATTGTTTCTCTTAAGTTTCCTTTTATCCTTGTCTAATGTAGTTTTATTTCCTATAAACTGTTTAACCTTAAAGTTTAATTTGACAGATATTAATATAACTATGCCAGCTTCCTGCCTGCTTAATAAAAGGTTGGTTTGAGATCCTATTCTTTAAAAATAGGCTTTTGCAGCCTATTTCCTTATATTTTCCTTATAAATTTCCTTATAAGCCCTGATTTTGCATCATCCCATAAGTTTTGGTTTATTCTGTTTTTGTTTCCATTCATCTTGGAATGTTTCCTAATTTTCCTTCTGATTTATTCTTCACTTATTGGTTATTTAAGGAATGTGTTTTTAATATCCATACATTTGTGAATTTCATGAATTTTCTTTTGCTATTGATCTCTAATTTCATTCCATTGTGTTTGGAGAACATATTTTATATGATTTTAACTCTTTTAAGTTGATTATTTTATGGCTTCAGATGCCTTTTATTCAAAACATTTCCTATGTTTTTTTTAAAAAATTATTTATATATTTATTTTATAATATATTTTTTAATTGAAGTATAGTTGATGTATATTATATGCTACAGGTATACAATACAGTGATTCACGAATTTTTAAAGGTTATACTCCATTTATAGTTACTATAAAATATTGGCTATATTCCCCGTGTTGTGCAGTACATCCTTGCAGCTTATTTTATTTTGTTTTATTTTTAACATTTTTTTTATTGAGTTACAGTCAGTTTACAATGTTGTGTCAATTTACAGTGTAGAGCACAATTTTTCAGTTATACATGAACATACACATTCTTTTTCACTGTGAGCTACCACAAGATCTTGTATATATTTCCCTGTGCTATACAGTATAATCTTATTTATCTATTCTGCATATGCCTGTCAGTATCTACAAATTTCAAACTCCCAGTCTGTCCCTTCCCACCCCTTGTAGCTTATTTTATACCTGATAGTTTGTACCTCTTAATCCTCCACCTTCGTGTTGCCCCTCCTCTCTCCCCACTGGTAACCACTAGTTCTGTCTCTACATCTGTGAGTCTGTTTCTTTTCTGTTATATTCAATAGTTTGTTGTAATTTTTAGATTTCACATGCAATATCTTACAATGTTTGTCTTTTCTCTGTCTGACTTATTTCGCTTCGAATAATGCCCTCCAAGTCCATCCATGCTGTACACCAGAGACTAATACAGCACTTTAAATCAACTGTACTTCAATTAAAAAGCAAACAAACAACCTAACTTTATTCAAGTTTTAAAGTTTTCTGTACAGGTCTTAATTTTTAGTTAATTCCTAGATACTTCATACTTTTCATTGAGAGGTACTTATTTTATTACGTGTTTATGATTGGTTTTGAGAAATGCTATTAATTTTGTAGGTTATTTATGTAGCTGGAAAATATGCTTATCTGTAATTCTAAAAGTTTGACTGTTGATTTTGTTGGTTTTCCTTGACGATCGTCTCTTTCAAAAAATCTGTTTTTCCTCTTCCTCTGCCAGTTCTTACATTTCTTACTGCATATGCACTTATACTATATTAAAACTAATAGTGATGGTGATTTCCCCCTAAATTCTGACTGAAAATACCCTTTAGAAAATCCTAGACCTAAAGATTTAAAATAAAATATGAGTTTATAACCTGCTCCCATTCAAAGTGGATGAACCTGAAAGGCTGCTGGCCTTCTTTTAAAAAGTCAAAGATAGTTTTGAGAAGAGGGAATTTTGTTGCCTTGTCGGCTGTCTAAGGGACTAGAAAGACCTTTTCCAGGGGGAGTTGTGGGGCTGGTTATGTACTACTGAGCTATACTTGGAGAAAACTAGTTTTTACAACATTTCCATGGAAATCAAAGTTACACTGAACCAGATGTTTGGTTTAAGAAGCAGACAAAAGGAAAAGGTATGTACAAGATGCAAGATCCTTTTTCTGTGCTATCTGCCATTTATTAGTACTTTGATAAGAGAAATCCAGAGTCCACCACACTTCTAGAGGGGTTCTGGAATTCTGGGCTCTCTCTTAAGATGAAGGCTGCAAAGCTCCAGTTTGTTGTACTAAACTGGGTTTGCCCAGGAGGTAAACCTACAGCTGGACCAGCAAAGATGCTAAGGGAGGAACTCTATTCTAACTGGGCCTTGTTGGTGAGAGATACTGATAGAGAGAGTGGAAAGAATAGCTGGCTATCTCATCTTCATCAGGAAAACTGTACATTTCCATGATTTGGGCTATGTCATAGGCATCAGAGTACAAAGCAGGAACTGAGGCCACCAGCCTCTCCAACTGAGGATCTTGGATTTGGACATCACTTGTAGGACTCTCAGTGAGGATAGAGTCCCCCACCCAACTGAAAGGGCCTAAGGGCTGAGGTGAGAAGGAGCTACAGAAATCTGAAACTGTTGGGGGGAAAAAATGAGGATTTGTTGATGCTGTTGACACGTTCTTGGCTGGAAGGATCTGGTTTGGTGGCTTCAGTGATTTCTGTTGCTGCTGCTGCTGCTTCCTCATTTTGAACCGCCGATTCCTGAACCAAATCTGGGAGTGGGGGAAGAGAGGAGTTTATAGTCTGTTACTGAAGAAGGAGTTTGAGGCTTCTCCTGGGTGAAAAAAGCCAAACTGTAACCTTCATGCCCTCTCTCCAAGTCACCATGATACTGAGTTCTGAGAGAGCAGAAGTAGGTATGAATGGAGTCAATAGGAACAGTGAGGGATCAGGACTGGGCCCCAAAGAGAAGAGAAGGAAATAAAGGGGGTACATTTCAGAGGTTATACTGGGGATTCAGAGAAAGGGTCCTGAACTTCAAAAGAGAAGCAAGTTCAGAAATCTAGACAGGGGTAAGGAATTTGAACTGAGGGATTTTCGATGCTTATTTTAGAAGGCCTCTACAGTGAGGACTAGTCTAACAAAAACTGGGGGCCTTAGCAGACTCAGAAGCTGGGGGAAGTTATTTGTTGGTAAGGTGAATAAACAGATTGAAGGGTTTTGCTTGAGAAGACCCTAAGTGAGACGTCGGTCTGGATGAGATCCCTTCCTCTAAGTTGAGCTCTGCAGGACAAGACCTCTGGAGTTCTAATTCCAATTACGCTACATATTATCTCTGTGACCCAGTTGCTTTGCTCCCAAAATTGGATGACAGTGAAGGCAACATATACAATGAGCCCAGCTCAGCACTAGCACACAGTAGGTACTCAGTAAAAGAAGTATTACTACTGCTGTGTTATGGAGGGGATTTCCAGGCTGAACCATAGAATGTGATTTGGGTGAGGGTACAAAGCACACCTCAGAGGATCAGACAGACCTTTACTGTTGAGTCTGGTAGGTTGAGTTTTAAAGCAAGTTTTCTCTGGAGATTTTTATCTGGAAACATGTTGCAGCTAAACAGAGCCTCCAACTCTTTGTGCTGTGTTTGGGTAAATGAGGTGCGTTCTTGATGCTTCTTCCATTTCTCTGTAGAGCAGAAATGGAGAGGGGGTGGTTACATTAACACGGTCCGCTTCCGGCTCAAATCCCCCCAGAAAACCACAGCTGTGAATTTCCCATGACTTCCCCCACCCAGGCTTGGAATCAGGAGATAAAGATCTTAACTCCAGGAGGCTGAGACCTATGTAACAGTGCTCTGTCCTCTGTTTTCTGAGATTTAGTTTTTCCCTGCTAGGAAATTCTACCTCTTCAATTTTCTGTGTACCCAGTCTATTTGCTTTGGAAACTGGTTTCCTTGTGTTTCAGTTTTCCCTGCACTGAAAACAGAAAAAACTTTTTCTCTCTTACTCAGTCTGTCTATCCTGCCTAACCTCAGGACAGTGGACGGAGCTTCCCTTATCGTCTTTTCCACACTGTTTCTTTTAGAAACTGGGAAGAAACCTCATGCCCCTTCACCTGAATATAACACATTCTTCAAAATGGGTTTCCTCTTTTCATTTATTTATTCAGGAACCCAGTCTATCTTGTCTGGCAAGTGAGTTTTTTCTTTTCCAGGCTTTCTGAAGCTCTATTTACTCCTCTGGGAAAAGATTCATATGAAATGAGACATGACTAAATATGTGGAGACAATTGAAAAATTATAAAATATTTTTAAAAAATGACAATAGAGAGAAGAAGGAAATTTTCTAAGAAAATATGATCACCAATATTTGCTTAAAAAGGACTGTAGGCACTGAGCAGACTAATAACCACACAAAAACATAGGTAAGTTACAAAACTCAAGGCAATGCTATGCTAATTCTCCTGTTATATACTTATTTCACTAGATGGAAGAAGAGTCTTTACTTGGGCCTCACTTCTTGTATTTGAAGTCCCTAACACCAATCCTAACACCAGACAAGAATAAACACTATAAACAAAACTGTAAGACTAATGCCACTTATGTACATGGATGGAAATAACTTTAACAAAATATATTTAATATAATCACATATTTAAATGTATATATTCCTAAACTTATACTATCTTATTTTTGAAGTTCACATATATGTATTTGAAACCAAATGTATAAGATATTCATTTATAAATACTGATTTTTTCTACTCCCATTTCACCAAACTATTCAGACTGTTTGCATTGACTTTAAACAGCCATAGCTTCATCGACATTCTGATCCTATTCCTTAAATGAAACAGTGTAGTTTTATCAGGTACATAATCTTTACTTTGAAATAAGTTTTTGTGATACAGCTCTTTTGGAAAGTGTTTATGAAATAAGCATTTCACCAAAGAAGATATATAAATGGCATGTGAAGGAATGTGCAGAAACTGGAATTCTCATACAGTGATTGGAAATTGTTGATGAGACTGTAAAATGATAAAGCCACTTTGAAAAACTGTCTGGCAGTTTCCTCCTATGACTCTATCTGCCCAAGAGAATAAGAACATTTATCTGTGCAAAGATTTATATACAACTATTAGTAGCAGCATTGCTTGTAATTGCCAAAATTTGGTAACAATCCAAATCTTCTTATTGAAAGGATATACAAATGTTGTATATTCATACAATGGAAAACCATTCAGCAATAAAAGGAACAGATTACCGATACATTTTACAACATGGATGAACCTCAAAAACATTATATTAAATGAGATACATATTTACTGAGCTTGAATGATAGACTCATGAAGGTAAGTATATTATTCTGTTTTTGTTTCTATTTGAAGTTTTCTGTGTAATAAAATGTTAAAATAAGTTTAAAACAATCTTCAGCAATTATTTTTTCCAAAAGAAGAGGGATTCACCCTGAGATGGAACTGCTTTGGGCAGGAACTATGTTTGCTAAAGTGAGAGGCTGGAAGAAGCGGAGTGGAGATTCAGTAATCTCTGACTTGTTTGTGTGTAACAGTAGAAATTTTGCTTATAAACTGTACTTTTCTAGGAATGTGATCATGAACGGGTTGCTTAAACTCTTCACTTCAGTTTCATTAAGCATAAAAAGGAAATGCTATGAGTGTCTACTTTATAATAGGGTTTGTAATGTATTACATGAATGTATTAATGTAAGTTATAAATACACACAAAACACTAGAATAATGCATGGCATGTTATATGCACCAAATAAGTATTTTATTATTAACCTCCTCAGCATATCAAGTATAAGTTAGGAAAATATTGCCACTTAAAATAGTTTAATGGCTTTATAGACAATAAATTTTAAAAACCACATTACTAGTGCTTGGGGGAAAGGTGTGGCTCTATAGACAATAAATTTTAAAAACCACATTATTAGTGCTTGGGGGAAAGGTGTGGCTCAGGTGGTGGAGCGTGTGCTCGGCACCCAGGAGGTCGGGGGTTAGATCCCCAGTGCCCCCTCCAAGCAGAGGTCAATGAAGAATCCTAAGAAAAAAAAATTACTAGTTCTTATTTTCCTATATAATGTGTATAGGAAATACATTTCCTTTAAAAAATTATAGTTTATGTATAAAATATAAAGAGTAGACTACAAAAATTCTAACTATTTTAGTGACTGCCTCAGAGAATAAAAGAGGTGCCATAGAACTGGTAGGAATGATCATTAAATAAGTACTTTCATTAATTTCTATTATTTTATTTTTTAATAAATAAGACTAAGCTATGTATTTCTTGTGTGATTTACTTAGAGCATGAAGTTGGAAGAAGCAACTGGAAAAAAATGTGTTCATATGTTAACAGGTTTTTTTTTCTTTTTGGTGGTGAGATTATGGATACTTGTTATATTATTTATTGTTCTCTTCTGTATTTTAAGGAAGAAAATGTTAAGACAATCAACTACATTAATGTTAACAGTTGGAATACATCTTCATGATCATATCAAAAGATGACAAAAAATTTGTAAATTCTATATTCATTTCTGATAAAACTTCGAACAAGGTACGAATAGAAGGCATTTCCTTAACCAAAAGAGTTCAGCATAGAAAGAATAAACATTTAATGAAGAAACATTAATAGCATTGCAACTAAAGTAAATAAAAGGCAAAAATACACTCTAACATAGGTATTGTGCAGCATTGTCCTGGTGTACCTAGCAAAATGAGTAAGAAATAAGTAGTATAATGGAGAAGCAAAAGTGTCATTTGCAACAACAACAAAATTCTCTCTGAAAAATCCACTATAAACATGTAATATTTTATAAAACATATTGGAAGAATATAAGATTAAGATGCAACCATTAGTTGCTATAAAATGTAATGTCAACATGGTTCAGTGGTAGAGTGCATGCTTAGCATGCACAAAGTTTTGGATTCAATCCCCAGGACCTTCATTAAAAAAAGGGATCCTATATACGATAACGTCAAAATATATAGAATGCCTAACAAGGCATCTAAATGAAATATGTAGGAACTATATGAAATAAACTATAAAGCTGTACTAAAGGGCTTAAATGATCTGAATATATAGAAGTATATTATGTTCTTGAAATAAACATCTAAACATTAGAAATGTCCATTTCCCATTTTTTATAATGAAGGTACTAGGAATTGAACCCAAATTTTGTGCATGCTAAGCATGCACTCTACCACTGAGCTATAGCCACCTTCCACTTCAATTTAATCTTAATCGACATCTCCGCAGAAATTTTTACTGAGCTTGAAAAGCTGAGTCCAAAACTGGGAAGAGAGGCCAAACTTTGACCAGAGTCAGGTTTGTAAACCAGTCACAGTGGCTGCAGCGGCTGGACAGTCTTGGTGGCAGGAGTAGCCGAGTGACCCAAAGGGAGCATGAGGCACTGGGCAATGCTGTCTGCAGGGACCGGGTGACAGTGTGAGAGGTACTAGCTTATACAAGTTTGCACCATGTGTGAGTATAAGCTAGTGGTTCTTGGTTCAAGAGGCGTTGGAAAATCAGCTCTGACTGTATAGTTTATTCAAGGAATTTTTGTTGAAAATGTGATTCTATGATAGAAGATTCTTACAGAGAGCAAGTTGAAGTAGATGCACAAGAGTATACGCCTGAAATATCGGATACTACAATATTTCAGTGATAAGGGGGCGACAAGACTTTGCTTTATTTTATTCCATCATATCACAGTCCACATTCAATGATTTACAAGATCTGGGAAAACAGAGAACAACAGTTAAGGACTGTTCTAGATGTTCTAGAGATTCTGGTTGGTGATAAGTGTGACTTGGAACATGACAGAGTGGTAGGAAAGGAACAAGGTCAAAATGTAGCAAGACAGTGGAACAATTGTGCATTCTTAGAATCCTCTGCAAAATAGAAAATAAGTATTAATGAATCTCTTGTGACCCAGAGTGGCAAATTAACAGAAAAACTCCACTCTCTGGGAAGACCCGCAAAAACCCAAATAGCTCTGAGCCTAGTCTGAAGAACTATTGTCAATGAGGGGATCATGAGAACCTCTGATTTATAGCCAGTTGGTCAGAAGCACAGGTGACAACCTGGATTTGTGATTGGCATCGAAAGTGCAAGGAGTCTTGTGGGACTGAGCCCTTAACCTGTGGGACCTGATGCTTTTTCTGGGGAGTGTGAGAATTGAGTTGAATTGTAGGATACCCAGCTAGTGTCACGAGAATTGCTCTGTATGGGGAAAATGTCCACATATTGGAATTGGTGTCAGGATTGTACCCTGCTCTGGGAAAGGAGCTTCCTGTATTTCTATCTCTCTATGCTTCAGTCCTTCTCTCCTAGAAAAACATTCTTACTTGTTCTGTATCTTGTGTTCTTAGCTTATGTATCATAATTTGGTCAAGCAGGAGCCAAAGGCACTTGACCTTGATATGAAATTGATAACTTCCCCTTTTATGATGGGAATATTTTTAAAATAGACTTTTGGGTAAAAAAGCTGTTTCAGAACAAATTCAAAATACAATTACAGGGCCCTGTGTAAAGAGGGCAAGAGTGGAGGAGAGTTATACTCACTGGGACCAGCCAGTAACTGTGAATTATCCTGGGAGTTCATGCTGGAATCATCCACATAGATAAAAGGATCTGGCTGGGGGTTCTCTTGGGCCATTTTGTTCATCAGGGGTGCTGACATCTGGCAAAGAAAGCCTTTATGAGAAAGAAGACACTGATGAAGTCATTCATTTAACTGGAAAGCAATGTTTTCAAGGGGCTTGTGTTTGCTGTAACGGTCTCAGACAAATGAGGTTAATCCCCCACGTCTCTACCACAGCTGGAAAATGATTTACATTTTATACCATAGAAAAATAGTCCAGATGTATCAGTCAAAAATGAAACTTTGGAAATATTAAGAGAAAATGTGTGTCAATATCTTTGTGACTCGGAGTAGGGGATATTTTCTTTAGTGAGATTGTTGAAACATAGTCTATAAACAGAAAGATGAATCAATTAGACAATTAGACCAGATCAAATGACTTTAGATTTCTCATTGGAAACCAAGGAAGACAGATAGTGGAACAAAATCTTTCAAGTGTTTAAAGGAGAGAACTGCCAACTCAGAATTCTATATTCAGGAAAATATCCTTCAAGAGTAGAAGGTGAGGGAGTGAGATAATCATAGAATAACATGCAGTTATAAAAAATAAAATAGAGAAGGGGAGAGGGCTCAATCGGTAAAGCACATGCTTAGCATGCACAAAGTCCTGGGTTCAATCCCCAGTACGTTCTCTAAAAATAAAGAAATAAACCTAATTACCCCCCTCCACCATCAATCACTCACTCACTCAAAAATATTTTTAAAAATCTGTGAAAAAAAAAAGAATGCAGAAATGATGACATTCTCAGATTAAGGGAAACTGTGACATCTGTGGCCATTAGTTCTATTCTACAGAAATGTTAACAGAAACTTCTTTAGGCTAAAGGGAAATGATATGAAGAAAAACTGGAACTTCAGGAATGAAGGAAGAGCCACAGAAATGGTAAATATCTGGTTAAATCTAATAATAATAATATTTGGAGCTGTTTTTCGATATCTAAGTGCTTCACACACGGGATTCGTTTAATTCTCAGCAAACGCATGGGGAAAAGTACAGTCGTTAGCATCCTCTTATAAATGAAGGGAAGTAAGATATTAACATTTGGGCAGCTAGAGTAGCATAAGTGGGAATGAATTAGGTCTTACTAGCTCCTGCCCACTTTCCCAGAAAGGGTATTTGATAGCCTACAGCTTAAACTGGCATACTGAACAAGAAGCATGCTTCAGCTGAGCTTGGGTATCTTCCCAGATAGCACAGGACGGAATTGCCAGTGGGGGCACCACAATCACTCAGCAAGTATCCATCGCCTGCCATCTACAGGCTATGCTTATCTAGGTCTGGTGGTTCTGCAGTGAACAAGCCACACAAAAACTGCTGCTATGATGGAGCTTCTGATGCTGAGTAGTCTAATGAGGACTTGCAAAGGCCAGGCTAGCACAGATTGGTAAAGTGTGGGAGTCCTGCAAAGCAGACATCGACCTTCAGTAACAAAGTGTCTCACATTCACTCCCTGACTTTCACGAGACAGTCAGATCTTCTGATCTTCCTTCTGCCCTCAGTTTACAACCCTCTGTCACCTCCCTCCACCTGGGATGGAGCTGAGCGATTTGCATCCTTTAATCTTGCACCTTTGATCTTTTAAGTTCTTTTTGACCCCACATGCTGGTCCCGTATCTTCCCTCCCTTCCCTCCCCCTGCTTACCTGTCATAAATTCCCTTGGATTGCTTATTTTCAAGACTTCTTGATGTGTTTCTCTGGAAATGCAATTCCTTTAGTGTGTCTTCATGGTGAAACACGGTGTATTTAAATGTAATTTTTGATACCATCAGACCCTTGCACCACCCAGACACACCCCTAATGTCCCACCCTTGATTCATTCATTCAATCATTCATTTATTCAACGAAAGTATGCTTAGAGACTAATACCACCGTTGCTGGGAATAAACTTTTTATTCTTTTTATGCTTAAACTTCCTAACTTGACCAACTTTTAAGGCTGACTCCTGTGCCCTCTTGATACCACTACCTCTTTACCTTTATACTTGCATAATTTGAAGTTATAGGTGTGTCTCTTTAATTGCAGTCCAATTGGAGAATTTTAACATGGATTAAATCCATTTATGTTTGCTAGGATAATGATTTCTACCTCTTTATCTTTGTGTTTTGGTTTTTTCCCCCACTTTTTCTGCCTTTTGTTGGAAAGTTTGCACTGTATTCCCTTCCCCTCTCCCACAATGGTATGTAAGTTACATGTAAGATTTAAAGTTTCCATTAATTTTTTCACATACATACTTGATTTTAAAAATTCTGACATTATTCTGTTTATACTTCTCCCAAACAATAAAATACTCTTTGAATTTTTAACAGTGAATTCTCCATCTTCAGTCTTTACTGTTATTTTTGTCTATTTTAGATCAAACTTGCTTTTATGCCCCTTAAAGTTATCATTATTATTTTTTGTCATAAAGTTTTCAAATTCTTTGATCATCATTGCTTTTTTCATCCTTAGTTTTCCTTTTGGGCGCAGTTTTATTCTTTCTGGAGTAGAATCAAGTAATTCTCTTAGTGATGGTCTATTAATTGTAAACATTTTAAAGCTTTCTTTGCCTGAAAATATATTGATTACATTGTCAGCCTTGCATAAGTTAGGTGAGTGTACAGCTCATTTATTTGAGAAGTCTGCTGACAGTCAAAATTTTATTCCTTTGTCTTTCTCTACTCTCTAGTTGCTATTAAAAGATTTGTGCTTTGTCTACAGTCCATATTTTTACCTAGAGTGTCTGCGTAAGATTTATATTTATCTTGTCCATGTCTTACTATATGTCTTCAATCTAAACACTCTTGAATTTTTTTCAGTTATAGACATTTCTGAGTGATTATCTCTGAATATTGTCTTGCTTCCATTATCTCTACTAGCTTCTTCTGGAATTTCCATTAGATTTCCATTAGATCTTCATTCTATTCTTAATCTTTTTAAACTGCTGTCATTTCCTTACCTTTCTGAGCTGCAGCTTGTTTAGCCATAATGCTACATATTTTATTGCTCTGGCTAATGCTTTTTGTTAACCTTTAATTTCGTTTTCTCTGTGGTGCTTTGCCCACCCATCCCTGCTATCATCTTCCCCTGACTGACTGAAGGCTTACTCATTTATCCATCTGTTTGTTCTTTCATTCACTCACTCACCATTTACTTTTTGTAACTGAGGTATAATTGACAGATAACATTAGTTTCAAGTATATAACATAACAATTCAATATTAGTATATATTGTGAAACAGTCACCACCATAAGTCTAGTTAACATCCGTCACCACACATAGTTACAAAATCTTTTTTTCTTGTGGTGAGAACTTTTAGAATGTACTCTTTTAGCAAGTTTCAAATATGCAGTACAGTATTATTAACTCCAGCAATATGCTGTACATTATTCGTCTCTTACTTATTGAATGCCTTCTGGGTGACAAAAACTATTCTGGCTTTGGGTAGGGGGAGAGTCAATTATGATTTTAATAGACTTGACTTCTGCTTCAAATCATAGTAGCAACCATTGGCTTGTTGGATTATGCTTCTCTCGATTGGGGAGGGGACTGTGACCCTGGTCCTCTTCACTCCTCCCATCAGCTAGCCCAGAGGGCATAGATTAAGGTCTTAGACTAAACCATAAATCTAGAAACAAAAGACTAGACTCACACCCAGCATCCTACCAAAGAAAGAAACTCACCATGTGACAAAAGAAATGTACCCAAAGTAAAGCAAAAGTAGAAAGCAATAGACAATAGGAAAGAAAAGATTTAGGCATTAAAGAATCAACCCAGGAAATGGGACACTAACAGGTGTTCCTGAGAGACCACAGTACAGAGAAGTCTCACAATTTATCCCCAGATCTCTCTTATTCAATCTCAGTATCTCATTCCCTTTTTCAGTATCAGTTATCTAGGCCTACCAATTTCTGTTTTTCCTATCATTCTCTTGTACTCCTTACCTTATGGACAACTGGTACCTAAAAATTCAACTGAACTATAATTTGGTTAATTTATTTTCTATACATTATTTGGTTAACATTTATTTTCTATACATTATTTATCATGTTCTGTGCTGTGTGGAGTGTGCTAGTGATGGGGACACAATGATGAGCAAGAATTAAAATGTTTCTGCCCTGAATTTGTTATCTAGCCATCTGATTGGCCAGTAAGCATTTGAAAAGATACTTAAAAGGAAATGCCATTTAATCCAGGAATTAAATCACTTTTCCTTTTCCTTTTTTCTCCCTTATATTTAAAATATGAATAAAACTCAGGGTTCATGGTGCAGTGATAAGCACTGGCATTTTCACTCACTTGGGGAGAATGTTAATTTCTTTGATTTGGGGGGAAACTATTTTAAGTGACAGTCATTAAAATTTTAAATATTTAAAAATTTTATATATTTAAAAATGTCATATAAACTTTTAGCCCATTCTTAATATTTAAAAGTTAATAAAAATATGTAAGAGATGCTGTAAAAAAATAACTATACAATGATATTCATTATAATACTTGTTTTATTGTCAAAATTTTGGAGTAAATCTAAAAGTCTATCAATAGAATAAGTTGTGATATATTTATCATATGAATTATTCTATAGCAATAAAAATGAATTTGGAAAATCTACTTTAAAATATAATAAATTAATATATCTACATTTCCTTACCTCCTTCAAGTGAATGCAAGCCTCTTGTACATGGAACTTTGTTTATTGCTGTATCCTCAGAGCCAAGCACTTGGTGTGGAACAAAGTTAAACAGTTTTTTTTATTAGTGAATACATGGATGGATGATAGATGTATGAGTTAATAAGTACCGGTGGGCAGATTCCATTGAAACTTCTTTTTAACAAGAAAATATATTACACTTATGAACAAAAATACCAATAAAGAAAAAAATTAAAGAGAAAGAAGCAAACTGTATCAACAGAAGTTATCTTAAGGGACTGGGATTCCATTGAACGTTCACTTTCTTCATTATCTACATTATATTTTCACTTTTTACAATAGTGAGAAAAAAGTGAAAGTTAAAAAAAAAAAACCCTCATTTGCTGAACCTTTTCTCTATCTCTCTGCCATTTTCCAGCCTGCCTGGTTCTGCTCTGGGTTTTAGCAGAGGGGGAGAATCCAGAGCCCAGGACCATGCCAGCTCTCCCTCAGGCAGCTCCTCCTTCCTTTTCAACACTCCTTTACTTGGCTGGGTGGGAAATGCAGATTCTTCCTTTGCAGATAGAGGCCAGTCTTTGAAGAGGCAGGGCTGTAGAGTTGCCCTGTAGCCGGGAGGGGAAAAGAATGCGTTGGGTGATGATGCCATCCAGGATGAAGGCAAAGATCCGCAGCCTCAGGAGCAGGCAAGGAGAAAATTGTTGGCAGGGGTGGAAGCACATGGCATGTATTGACAGGGGAGGAAACTATCTGAAAGGGGCAGTGTTGGTTGTATCCCACTCTCATCCTGGAGAAAGACCCTGTGCAATTATGTGGCTTAGACTGTGGTTGTTGAGGACATTATGCCTTCATTCCAGTTAATCCATTGATTCATTCTAGGTGGCTGGTGCCCCAAGGACACCACCTCATCCCCTGGGCAGTTCCTGTTTTTGAAGATCTGATTGGCTCATTCTTCCTCCTTAACCCCAGGATGGCTCTCCTCCGTCTCCCTCTCTTCTCAGGCTAGGCAGGCATC